TCTCACTGTCATTTGAGACTATATATAGGCAAACATCTTTGCAAGGAAAGGCTTTATTTCATGCATTCCTGACAATTCAGTTCTGATCCATGTTTGACCAGTTGAAGGGCAGAAGCAGCTAATAACAGATTGAAAAACACCATCCCTTCTCTCCCCAGCACCCTACTATTGGTGATACAAGAACAACCATGCAGGTAAGAGAGAGAGGAGTTGAGACCTTTTGTGTATGTGTATGATTACTCTAAAACTACCCTCTTCCTGCAAAACGTAGGGGAAAAGACCTTACATTTGAGGCTACTATGCATGCAAACCAGATCAAAAAAAACACAAAAATGTTTCTTGTCCATTGTTACTTATGCTTGTTATTACTTCCATTGCCTTAATGAATAATTATACATAAAAATCTTAAGTTAATGTCTAACAATAGATATCAAATATTTAGAGCAACCTGTGCACACATCTTATTACACGCTCCTTATTAGCATTATTAACACCACAGATAGTAATAATATATTATAATATATTAGCCAACACAGATCAAAGCAAGAACACTTGAAATGCTATATCCAGCTTCAGACCTTCATTGATATCTAAATGTTGCAAAGGGAACATCAAAGGCAACATTTAGGTAATGAGTTATTTCATACACCTCAGAAGTGAAGGGGTACCAGGATGTGTTACCTGGTAAGGTATTGGTAGATATAGGAATAGGCAATTGCCATATGTGGTATAAGTAAGAATGATGAAGACTATTCCCACTCCCATGAGGTTACATACCTGTGGTTTCTAAAGTCCAATTGTTTCAGCACAATACCACATGTACTCTTGATGAAACACAGCAAGGAAGCCAGCACATTTTAAAGAAAAATATCTTGAACACACACGACAAATTTTCTGCCAAATGGATGGAATGTGTCACCAAGTTTGACAAGTTATTTGAATAGCTATATCTTTTAGCACTGTTATCAGTCTTCAGCAGTGCTGTAATTGAAAATCATACATCTGCCTCCAGAAAGTAATTGCAAAAGTGTGATATAATTTTCATGGGTATTCAAATGTTTTTCTTGACTTGCATGACTCTAGAGATCTCAGTGAGTAGAGCAAAAGGTTCAGGAGCTCTCTAAAGCTATGTCTTGTACTGCTCTGGACCTCTATAAGAGTCATGATTCTGCCTGAGGGCTCAAATCTTAGTAGAAATGAAGTGCACTTTTTTGCACGTTTCAGATATGCCCAGGGATCTTTCTGAATGGAAAAGGCTCAAGCAGTACCAGAAATACCTTGTCAGAAGCTGTCGTGGTTTAACCTCAGCCAGCAGCCAAGGACCAAGCAGCAAGGGAAAAAAAGTAAGAAAAAAACCTTACCTCTCAAAAAAATATTATAAAATTGCTGAAGTAATGATCAAATCTGATTAATGATGAATTTATGGTAAGCACAAACATGGGTTTCAACTGTCAGATTAAATCTTTTAGTGCTTGCCAGCCTAATGTCCTCCCCACAAAACCAGACAGAGGTATATATGATATGTGCAGACACCATGGAGACAACAGACTTCTGGCTCAAGATGGGCAGCAAACATGCATTTCTAAAACTGGCAAAAAAAAAAGGAGTAGATATTTTTCCATATAGAATCATTGAATCAAGGTTGGAGGAGACCTCTCAGGTCCCCAAGTCCAACCATTAACCTGCCATGATTTAAACTGCCATTAGATTTAAACTATGCAAATATTGATTAAACAGAGAAAAGGTTGTGTGAAGGTGATTCAGTAGAATGCATAATGCAGAAAGTATTGCTAAGTAAGAGCTGGGATGGGAGAGATGTGATTAGTTTTCCTTTTCCAGGTTAGATACAAAATTGAATGAATGGTCATGATTATTCTATGGATATAACTCACGTCTGTGCTACATATGCTTAAATGGCATGTCTAAAAACTGAAGTCTTTGGAGTCCTTTTGGAGATCCAGACACAAACTTGGCAGTTTCCTGACCATATGTCATGAATAGACTGGAGTACAAACCAACATTTCTTGCTCAGCTAGTACAGATCCCAACAGAAAGCATTGCTACAGCTGTGACTTTCTCTCTGTACAGTTTTTAGTGCCAGTAGAAATACATTGCACTGCAATAATGGGTGCACCCTTGGTATTGTACTATCTGGAGTCATGACTTGAATTTACACCATTTAAATATGCAACCACTTTTTCTTCACTCCTCTTGCTGTGGATATAAATGTGTAGCCTTTTTTTTTAATTATTATTATTCAAAATCCTTGAAGATGTTAACAGGTAAGAACATTTCAAAGTTGTTAACTAGATTTTTTTTTCTCCAAGGCAAAACAATTTACTTCTTTTTTTTCATTTAAAACATTGCTCCTCATATTTTCATCCCTATCACTGGTAATCCATAAAAACAGCTGCTTCAGCACACAGTACTAGACAACAGATAGAGAGCATTTTTAAGAAAGACAGGGACTTTCCTGAGCATATTTACAACCAGTAGGAAAAAATATCTTCTTATGTCAGCAAACTTGATATAGAAAAGTCCCTTCCATTCTTTCAGCAGATGTCATACTTTTACCTAGGCAAAAAAATCCAACTTGTCTTTCTATGTTCTATCTTACACACAAAAAAAATTATTTAGAAGGGAGGGCAGGAATAACACATTTTTAATTTTAGGTGCCTATTAATTTCTTTGGTCTCTAATATTAGAATGCCCAGGTTTTAATGATTGTGTTGGTAGTTGTCTAGTTATTCTTACTAAGTAAGAAATCTTTAATAAGAGGTAAGAAAATCAGGTATATTTTAATATGCATTCAATACCTTATGAAGAATTTATAAAAACTAAAGAAGCAGATTTTATATTAATGTAAGAAATAATAAAGGCTATATAATGCTTATGAAATGAAGAGGAAGATAAAGAATAAGAAATAATATAAATACAATATTGCAATTTAACAAACTTCCACTCTCCAGACACTGCATCAAAATCTTAAAGGTGCTCACTCTAATGGTGGTAACATAAAAACACATGTTTTTTTCAGGCCTTTATGTTTTTAGAATATTAACCTCTAGCGTGATGCCTTTTAAGTAGGTCAGCCTCATACACTCACACTCATTTTCCATGCTGGATTCACTCAGCTGGAATAGTGTCAGTGATCAAAAATATCAGATCTGTTCAGCCAATGTGAATATCTGCCATGGGCAACTCACCTTTTAGCAATTACCAGCTGAAGCAGAAGGTTTTAACAATACAGTTACCAGATGAAAGAGAACTGCATTCCATAATTACACTGGGCAAGTACAATATGGCTAGAACAGGTATTAGCTTGATTTTCCTCATCTGTCTCTGCTAGCAAGTCTGGTTACCTTCCACACTCATTTGATGTGGTCGCTCAGGGAAAGCAGCGCAGATGGTGGGTCATGCTGTGCACACTTGCCAGAGATTTTTACAATTTAAATCCTGTCCTAGGTTACAATGTAGGGTATGTATTCTATTATCGTCTCCACAAGCTGTTAAAGCAGGTGAGGGCAGTGCTCCTTATCTCCTACCCATCCCTGATAACTCCCTCAGGGGCTGTCTCTGTTTAATGGGCTGTCAGGGACCCACTGCATGACCCACAGAATTACAGTGTCCCATTGGGAGATGCTTCACCCCAGGGGGGGAGCCAAACATTCCCACCTGGATATAATCTGGGGTTTGGACCAGCACAGATGCTCTTTGCCTGCTGGATTCCCAGAGGACAAGAGCTACCACTGGACCTTCAGGTGAAGACCAGATCTACAGATCACTGCTCCAACAGACCCATCACTCCAGGAGTTCTGCAGCACCATTTCATCAGACTACTACCAACACCCTGACTGACAGGAGGTCAGGTTGTTTTCTGACTCTGTCAGTGGTTTCCTTTTGTACTGTTGCATTTGTTGCTTTGTTTTTCCTATTAAATTGTATTTCTGACTTGAAGTGTCTCACTGGTTTGCTTTCAAACCAGCACAAAGCCACTGTATCCAGCCAGTATGAAAACATAGCATAGATTACAACTAGAGTTTAACTTTAAATCTTTGTAAGTATAACCTCAGCACATGAGAAAAAAAGTGGATAAAACACAACTTAATCCAGAAATAAAATGAAAAAAAAAAAGAAAATATATGGAGTATAAGGAGTGCCTCCTTGAATTTTATATGTTAATATCTTACACATGTACGTTTTTATATTTTTTGCCCCATTTCCAGTCAATATATATTGCTTTCTAATAGATCTGGAACATAACTTTGTAGTGATTTTTTTGGTCTATATTTGTAAAATGCAATTAATATCTTCAGTACTGTTTCAGTTCTGAAAATATAAAAATATTATTCCATATTTTCTAACACAGTAAGTATGATTTGTGCTAAAACCATAGGGGAAAATACATGACTAGTGGAATAAAGAAGTAGATGACTTTATTTCCATTTCATTTGGAACTTTGATCTGCTGTATTTTATACTTTGTGATACAACAAAGATAATTTTAATGAATGACTGGCAGTATGATCACTTTCCATTTAAATTTTGTATTACTAAGCATTTTGATTTTTGTTTTGTTCTGTTTTTTCACATTCTGTTACTCCAACAATTTTCAACATGTGTTGATCCAAATGCCTTGCCCTGATGAGGATCAACCAATTCCCACTGAACTAATGGAAGACTGACAGAATGTGTAAGAAAATGATGCTTATTTTCCCAGTTAACGTGGTTTGGGGTTTTTTTTTTTATTTGTTACAGCTGTCTCAAAAATAATCATTTTACATTAAGCTGTTTTAACTATTTTGAGGCATTTCTACTTTTTTTGCATTGACCTGATGCTGAATCATACTCTAATATCCATTATATGCAATGGTTTTTGTTTGAGTATAATGAAGACATTTTTTTCTGACTACACAGTAATATTTTATATTTGATGTTAATTAATGAAACCTATTCATAAAGCTAAACTGATAAACATAACAGTCAATAAAGAACACTCACCTACTGTCAGTTGTCCAGTTAACTGTCCCATGTGATTTCTTGCATTCACTGTTACATTTCTGTCAGACTGTAAGACCAGTGGGCTATCCTGGGAAACATGTATGAGACAATAAATGAGAGAACAAAAAATTGAGGTAGAATTAAGTTAGAACTTAATATAGACAGGAATGCTGAGGGGAGTTTTGTCAAATACAATAGTCTTTCTAATCATTTCATAAAGCCTTTTGCAAGTTAAATTGTTATGTAAAAGAATAACAAGAATGCTATGTAAAGCTTCAAATGTTTTTGCATACAACCCCTCCTTTAGAAATCAGTGTTGAACTTAATTTATATAATTCAGATTTTATTTCCTGTCAATATTATGAAGTTCAAAATTCAAAAAGCCTTAACACAAATGTGTTTCATTAGCCTTTTCCATATATTGCTAATTTACATGTTTCTAACTACCTAACCAACACTATACTGCATTAACCTATTAGTCTGCACACTCTATAATATTAGTATTGCATTTAATAAAACCTTACAAACACAGCAAAGGATTCCTCTGAAAATAAAAAGAATTGTTACTTTCAAAAAGCAAAGAAAAAGAGACTTGGAAGGTTCTGGAAGGTCAGACAAGTCTGACCCACTTCCAATACTACCTGACAGGTATTATTAGGGATCAAGCATGACTACATTGCTCTCAGCATCCAACTAGGTTTAAGTTTTTGAAGAATGTTTACATATATATGTGTAAGTCTATCCTATGTCTAAAGCCAGCATAAAGAATCTCATAAAGAATTGAATTTTGCTTTTTGAAGAGTGAAGAGCCAGATGCACTCCTCCAGGGGAAGCACAGATGCACAGGAAAGGGGAAGAGTTTCAACAGAGAGCCAGGAGAAACAGCCTAAAAAAAAGAAAGAACTTACCCATCATGTTCTTATTGACCAGGGTGAGAGCATGAGAGGAGGAAAAGATAGGATTGTGACTGCTGCTGCACAGAAGGACTTTTCTCCCTGGAATCACCTGATACTACCCTGTTCTTTCCCTGAAGCTTGCAGTGAGATCATGGGTACATAATGCTTCTGGCAGTTTGCTAGCACTTACTATGCTAAGTATGTTTATCCAACAGCAGTAAGATATCTGACAGAAAAAGCTTGGGAAGTGTCTTCCGTAGGAATGACTAAGGGGTAGGAAAATATTTGGCATGTACTTATTTTATTCTTAGATTCTTCCCTGACCATCAACTATAGGTCAGTCCTGGACTGAGCATATTAGGTTAGCTAGACCCTTTGTTTGTGTCACTTGATATACTGGGGTTTTTGCTGTTCTTGAATGGTTTTTAGATGAGAAGGAAAGGAAATAAGGGGTCATAGGTAAAGATTTATTTTTATCTAAATGATGCATTATGTTCCCATTAAAAATTTCTATACCTTAAAGTGCTTTTCTTTCAATCCAGGGCTTTCCTCTACAAGAAACACTCTTCCCAGTTGTTTTCACTATGATTATTAACTTTAAATGATAATTGATTCCCTGGGAAGTTGAAATTATTCTGAGCTAATTTCTAAGAGTTCAGGTGTGTTTCCATCTCTCACTGGACCATGTCTAGCATCCTGCCAATTAGCTCTACATCACAGAGTCTGGCAGAAGAAAGTGACTGTTTGGCTTGTCCATCTTTCTAGTCAAAAAGTTGTAATTATCAGTGAGACACTGTGTTAAATGTGACTGGTTTAAGCTAAATACGTGATGCAACAAAGGGAGCTTTGGCAACAAAAGCAGCTGCCAAGAAACTATTTATCAATACTTGATTCCCACTTGCCTTATGGTCCTTTGAAAATCATAGGTCCAGGCAACTGCTGCTCTGGGAGATGCAATTGTCCTAACAGGCATCTGAATGGGCAAAGTACATTTTTAAAGAACCCTGTTCACTTTCGCTTAGTCACTATTTGGTGAAGAGTCTTCTCAGTCAGAATAACCTCATCCTTAGCAAGAGAGGATACTGCCATGCCTATTTTTGCCAGCATGGCTAAAGGTTTGTGAACTTACTCTTCCAAGGACTGTTTACAGTCTCTCTCCACAGAATCATCTTAGGAAAATACTTAACACAATTCTCAGGCTAAAATCTGCCTCTCAGGCTCCAATTGTAAAAAAAAAAATAGCTTGGATATGAAATTCTCAAGTACAGCATAATGAAAAATTAGGTGAGCCAAGCTTTCTTTCTTCTTCTTTCCTTGTCTTACATAAAGGATAAAAAGAGAGATGAAGAAGTTAAGAACTTATTCCTATATTTCTGAGTTCCTGGATGTAAAATACAGAGCTGCAAGCTTAAGTTCTGGACCAAAATAAACACAGTGGCAAATCTCCTATTAATTTAGGCAGATCAGCATTTTATCTACACTTTTTACCTGCACTTTATTTTACATGGGAAGTGCCTAAAGAGAGAGTTTCAAGATATTCAGTGGTAGTCTACTCAGAGGAGCTAGACACTCAGAAGAAACTTAGCTGAAATCAGTGGAATTATAGACCTGTAAGATGAGCATAAAGTGTGATGTCAGTCATATGAATACAAATACATCTAAAGCATAAAACATGTTGGATAATTTTCTCTCTGGATCACCAGATCTGTAGCTCTTTTGATGTGAACTTCAGCTTGCGATCTAAGAGACCTGATAATCCACACAGTAATTCACATTAGATGTTAGAAGAGAGATAGAAGTATATGTAAATGTACAGATGTAAATGTGGACTTCAGAAAAGAGGTAGAAAATGATGCCATTTCAATTATACTGTAGATAACAAAAAGTCATATAGTGAGAACATTCTTACAGTTACATAGAGCTTTTAATAATATCAATATGTTAATAACTAAAATATTGTAAAGGGATGTTCTTGGGCCATGCCCAACCTCCTTGGGGGGACCCATTTCAGTCCAGCACCATTTGAACCCCTTCTGAATGGGTTTCCCTACTTGGCTCCTTCCATCTCTTAAGGGAGCATTCAGCCCTCACTGCCCTGACAGATATGAGGACCTCAAGAACTAGCTGATGCTCATGATACTGTATGAGATGACTCCTATTTATAATGTTACAACTTAAAGATTTTCAGCAGTGTATTAATGGTAAACCAAATCTTTTCGGATTCAAAAGCTGAAGAATATTAAACAAATTCTAAAGAAAGTTTATGGTAAAAAAATAGATCATCAGAAATACATAAATTGTAGCAGAAATCTGGAATGAGGCACATAGTACAAAGTAGCAAAGAAATATTTGCCATTAACAAAAATATTTAAAGGTCTATTTCATGCACATTAAAATTTATCTGTTGAAAATGTAAGATAAAATTAAGGCAAGATGAATCGTTAATTCTAAACATGTTTAGTTAGAAGGTTTATTTTAGGTTAGCATTAAACATACTATTTTATAGAAAGTCAAGGTGGCAGCATCCCTTATGATTAAATGCTGCCACTAGTGTTAGCAGCAGCTCCGACAGCAAGAGTCAGAAATAGTTACCTGTTTTTTTTTGTTTCTTCAAGTAGCTATCTTAGTTTCTACAATGTTTATATTTCCTGATAAGTCTTCCTTCCAGCAGAATCACTTACAGCTGAATCCTAATTACCTTGACAAAACTTTCTGCATTGCTAGTTCCCTCTACTGTTTCGGCACTAAATAACCAGAAGCACACACCTCTCGAACTCTGAAACACCCTGCTGAAAAGAAGGAATATTATTTTTTTCACTTCACTGAGCCTTCCCTTGCACACACACATTGTTTATTACATCAGTTTTTAGGTGCTTCCAAGCATTTTCTTGAGATAAGTACTATGAATTCCATGGACATTTAGCATGAAGTATAATGAGGCTTTGATCAAGGCATCAAAAGGAATGAAAGTAAGAATGGCAATTACAGAAATTACAGATAATCCACTATATTTAAATTAAAGTGTGCATGTTTAATCACCATAGATTATGAAGAATCAACAGAAAAAACTACATTACCTTGAACACAACAGATAGAAGAGAGTATTTTAAGATTAAAAAAACAAAATATCCCCTATACTTCATACATTCACCTTTAATTTTGACCTATCAATAGCTACAAAGTGATTGTGAAAAATACTACCCTAGGTTTTGCTGTTCAACATTCTTTAACCTTGCAAAACATTTAATAAGCAGCTTTGCCATTACTATGACACAAACAGAGCCAATATGTGAGCTTAGCATCTGTTTCATGGCGCTTCTAAAATTTGTTATCTCCGGAAAGAAGATATTCATTCCCATCTTTATTGTAGAACATGACTTGGTGTTCAAGAAATTGCTTTTCTGTTAGCAAATTTGCTTTGAGACTTGCCAGTCATGGAGTAAAACAAGTCACCAGACCTATGAAGGTCAATATTGAGAAAATAAAATTATATAGAAAGGATAATGGTTCAGGGAAAGACATGGCACATGCCCCTTCAGGGAAACTGTTGTTGAGAAAATTGTCAGCTTTTATTAAGAAAGATCTTTTCCAAAGGATATCATTAACAATTTGCCTTTCTTTTCAACTCTCTAGCTATTCAGAATTTATTCTGTTTCAGTAACTGGATAATTTTTCCACACCAAACACATTTTCATAGCAGATTTTAAGATATTGAAGAAAAGTTGCCTTCAGTTACAGGCTACAACAAATAAAGCTCCATGACTTTGCAGTTTTTCACAGAATACATTTAGACTGAAACAACTGGCACAACAGTAATTTTAATATTTTATGTTGTGATTCTGGCAACTAGTCAAGCTCTTCTAAATGTAAATGGATGATCAAGTAGTTCCAGTAATTCTGTATCAGAATAATATAGTAATTGCCAGTACAAACCATTATACTTTAGTTTCCATTGTAATCCTACTCATATTCTTCTATAGCCTTATTATAACCTCTGTATAATATTTCCAGTGCACCTTACTTATTTTCAGTGAAACTTTAGATTCTAATTTTCCCTCCTCCCCCGATAGTATCCCAAAAGGCAGTGAAAAACAAGAGTTCTTGCCTGTATTTTGAGCCCTGACTTTTGAACTAAGGTAATTAGCAAAATTTAGACTTGGTTCATCCTTCTCACAGAATGGTTCCATTAAAG